GAGAGATCACGAATACAGCATATGTTAAATTAGTAAAGATGAAATCCTCAATAGATACACAGAAGAATATTCTGCAAGTAGAATATCTCTCTTGGACAGCCATATTTCTGCAAACATGGCAAGCTCAACAAATAGTGGAAAACATCCGCTGAGAGTTGTTTTGCAGGAAAAAAAAATATAAACTGCATTTCATCACAGGAACAGGTTTAACAGGTTAACGCTATGCTTCCCCATGGTAAAATATTGTTATTTCAGTCTCATTCCAGGCTGGTATATGTGTAATCTATTTTGGATTCTGTAGCTTCTTCCTGAGGAACATAGAGCCATATCACATCTTTGTCATTTGTCATCAGGCATTGCTGCTTCTAACCAAAGACTGCACTGAAGTCTAGAAATACTGTACTGCTATTCATAGCTCACTGGAATACTCTTTTGTGCCTTATATTTATCAATGAATGTCCCAAAAGACAGGCAGCTTTCCACAAATGCTGAAAAATCAGTCTAGCACCCTGCAGATTACTATACACATGACAATAGCCTTTGTTAGCATAATGTATTATAATGCATTATGTAGTGGGTCTCTGAGGCTTAGTAATCCCTGTCAGCAACCAGAATAAATGGAAATAGTTTCTAGGAGACTATGAAAAGACTGTTAGTTTTCAAGAACTACTAGCATTCAAACTCACACATGCAGCAACCGAAACAAAATCTCATGAACAGTCTTTAATTGCAGTTATTTTTGAAAGTCAAATGCCTGAAGTGTACTTTCCCTACTGAAACAAAGATTTGTGCATTCTCTCAGGCTTGTCGATAGTAGTTCTTGATGTGTAACCTTTTAATATGCCTAGACACTGGATTTGCTAGCTAAGAATAGCAAGGTCCCACATGAAAGTAAGCACAACTACTTATGGAGAGCATCTATGCTCTTTTTTGCTCTTTGACTTCTTTTTAATGCAGAACTGCATAAAAAAAGTCCTGTGATACATGTAGCGTGCACAGCGTAATGCTGCATCGGATGAAGGTGCACCACAGTTACTGAACTCCTGAAGTTGTAACTGCCAGCAGCTCAGACCATACAGCCCAGGAAGGGCATCTCTTACTCTGCCCTTGCCCTGCTCCTTGTATCCTTCCCCTGAGGCAACGTACAGCAAGCTTTAGCAGAGAGACAGGGGCTTTGATCTGCTCGGGCACAGCTGTGCTGATTATCTTATGGTGCCATAAATTACTGACATATTTAGTCAAGTAGTGACAGGACAAGGGGGAATGGCTGTAAGCTGACAGAGGGGACATTTATATTAGACATTAGGAGGAGGTTCTTCACTGTGAAGGTGGTGAGATGCTGGCACAGGTCACCCAGAGAAGCTGTGGCGGCCCCATCCCTGGCAGTGTTCAAGGCCAGGTTGAAGCAGCCTGGTCTTGTCAAAGGTATCCCTGCCTGTGACAGACGGGTTGGAACTGGATGGTCTTCAAGGTCCTTTCTTACCCAAATCTTTCCATGATTCTTTGAAGTCTTTCAAATTGTACTACGTAGATCAGGTAAAGACATACTACCAAATAGCACAGCCCTTCAGATCAGTTCAAATAATTAAAACACTTCCAGAAATGCTTTAGTATACTGTTGTTTACACAGAGGCAACACCACCATAATATTACTGTCTTTACTCAGGCCTGCATATTCTCTGTATCATTCCACTGTCATGTTTAGATCTTAACTTTTTCCTGTATTTTTAAAGCACTCAACATTGTTCACTTAAAATTATGGTTAAATGATCAAAGGCTTTAGCAAATTTATCCTTCAATATCGTGCTGCACTTCTACCCTAAGACAGCAGAAAATCAAATCAACTCTTGCTACAGTTTCACAAGCAAGATGCTTACCCCCAGAGCATTAAAACGCCTCAGCAGAGCTGCCAAGTACAATCTTCATTACTGTGCAAAGCCATTGCAGCCATCTGCAATAGCAACCTGAAGCTGCAGTACCATTATGCATGCGTGTTGCTAGCCTGTATGGAAGCTTTTACTGTTTAATCTTCACCTCTTGATTAGATTAAATGAGGGTAGAACTGTAACCTTACCCAAGCCTATTTATTCTATTTTTAACCGTGCAGACATGCAGAAAGATGTAAGGGGGAGGGGGAAACAGCATTTAACTAGAGAGAGGAGACATAACGTGGGTAAACATTTCCTAAAAATCTTGAAATTAGCACCACTTACTCCAAGTAAGATCCAGTAGATTGCATCTCTAATTCTGCATGCCACGCTCTCTGTTTCACCATACTACTTGTATCATTTCATCTGTTATCATCTGCTCTGGTCTCCTTTTTTACCAGTTTCCACCTTCACAAACACTATAGAGACCAGTCAGCATAAAAAAAAAAAGCTAAGACTTCATCCTATTTCCAGTATGCTTTATCTGTAATAAAATCAGCAGCCAAAATATCTTTCCGTCCTCTGCATCATTAGTGGCACTGCTTTCCTGAAGGAGAACTTATTTTTCACACACACACTACATTTTGAATTTGCCTTTGAAATAATAGAGAAATTTCCCAAGTTGTAAGTGCTCTAGAAGTTAAACTGAATAGGGCTTGCATGATGCAAAGCATTCATTTCTTTTCTGGAGACTTTGCTCCCTGTGGGCAATGAGAATATCATCTGCTCATAAGATGACAGAGAGGAATCTCTTAGCAAAATGAAACTAATTATCAACATTGCAACCAAAAAAGATGGAAACATGCTGAGACAGAAATAGAAGGTCCTTCTGCTGCCATGCCTCACCTCCTCAAACTGCTGATTCTTCAGCTTAGGAGTCACTGTTATCTTTCCCCACCAGCTGCTGTATAAGAAGTGCTTCTTGAAGCCGTTTATCAGCACTGACTCTACTGATCAGGGGAGTGGGGAGCGGGGAAGACTGCAATTTGCAGCAGTTGAGGAGGAATGACTGCATACCACCTGGGTATAAGTCGTTACCCCGATCTGCAAATAGACCTTCCTCTCGTAGCAGCTGGATGGAGGTTGACTCTGTTCTTATTAAGGCCACAAACTAACTTCAGAGAGAACAAGGCTGAGAACAATGCTTTTGGTCGTTTATTTGCTTGCTTGTCTGTCTAACCATATTAGAATATTCTGCCAGAAGGAAAAGACTGCTCTGTTTGCCTTTGCTAGCAGTGGGCAGACTCCACTGTTGGCATAGATGCATGGACTCTCAAAGCAGCCCTAACTATACTGCTCAGTAGGATGCTAATGGCACTGTGCAGGACAAGCAGCGTAAAGGTCTTTGCTTTTATGAAAGCAGCAAATTATAATTGAAGAGTGGGCGTCTTTGTGTCTTCTCTATTGGACTTTAAAGAGCGATTTGACAAAATATGCCCTGCTTTGTTGCTGTACGGTTACTTTTTAGTAACTGGATTCTCAACTGGACAACCCCTGTTCTAGATTGTCCCCTCTGCTTCCATTGTACCCTGTACAAGTAATTTGGCAGGGAGAGAGAAGTGTTGGCTAAAGCAGAAAAGAATCCATGAACAGTTCATTTGTCTTCTGCTCTTACCTTCTTCCACTTACTATTCCCTGTATATGTGACGGAGATATACTGCAAGACAGCATCAAGTTAGTCAAGTGAAACATTCAGTTGTGAAAAAAAAATAGTGTCTTCTACTGCAAGAAGCAGAGAAGAAAACTGAAGATGAACCTTTTTGTGGGAAGGTGACATGTCTTGTTCTGACTGCGCAGGTGGTCAGAACATGAGACCTTCCATGGGCCACTCGGTCACAAGCCTTGGGAAACTTGTGCATCTGGGTGCTTGTAGGCTAAACAGAAAGGACTATCTGTGGCACGCAAAGAATGAGAGTGCAATCCCAGCTGTCTTGGAGGTGGTAGGACTTCAAAAGCTAGCTTTGAAAGCTGTCTGAACATGCAGGGATGTGACAAATGGATAAAAAGAAAAAAGCTAGATACTACAATACTAGCTTGCAAGCTAAATTATAAGAGAGTGGTTATAGAGTCTTAATATTTTACAGCCATTGCACATAGTTCACCTATTACATCAGTTTGTAACCTGGCAAGAGGAGTGCCAAAACATTTAAGGTTCCAAGTTTTGCCCTATTCAGTCAGCTTACTTCCCTAACATCTGCTCTACTGGGAGAATAACAGGGAAAAAATACCTTTTTAACTTCAAACCAAGTTAAATAGCAAAATAGTTATACTTGAAAGGATGTCAGGTACCCCTTCTGACAGGAAAAACCTTGCAGGGGCTGTCAGCCCTGTTCTTCAGTGAGCGCCTTGAAGTGAAGCTGGACCTGCCAGCTGCCAGGAGCCCCCTCAGCTCTGACTGGAGCCCTGTGTCAGAACTGACCAAAATATTAACGTATTCTACTGCGGTACCACTTATTGTGGGGTTGTTATGGATGTTTTCCTTTCATATATGGACTAATCAGCACACTCTTTAATAAAAATAACAAGATTTAGTGGATTTGTGGCCTGAGCGCTCTGTGTCTGCAGGACACCTTTGCCTTGCTAATCAGGTATGTTACATACCTACCAACAGTACTAGTATCAGCAGTGCATTTAAACCTCTAGTCTTAGATTTAGGTTGGATCTCTCAGTCTTGGAGTACTTCAAATCTTTAGTTACATTTGCTAGTCTGTTTTGGAATATGGATGTCTTAACCAGGGCAAGTACTATAAAAATCAAGTTTCTTACTGTTTTTGTAACAATTAGACCATTCAAGTACAACCGTTTGCATGCACTATAAAAATTCTTTCTATGTGCATCAGTCTTGGTATGTAAGAACATGAAGAGTAGGAATTGCTTCTGAAATATGACATGCCATCTTATGTACACTTGTATACTCTGTATATTTGAATACAAGCTAATTATAAATATATGTGTATTTAGCATCAGTAGCTATCTACCCACTAGTAAACAAATGTTTTAAACCAGGAAGGCCTATCCTTTTTTGTGCTTCCTTTCTGAAATATAAACATTGCTTCATTTTGTTCTTCCTAGCTCTGTTTTGTGATGTTTTGGACACCAAACGTGTCAGAGAAGATTTTAGTTGACATAATCGGAGTAGACTTCGCTTTTGCAGAGCTGTGTGTTGTTCCTTTGCGCATCTTCTCCTTCTTTCCAATTCCAGGTAAAAACCAAGAAAATAAGAACTCTGTAACCTCAAAATCAAACCAGCTGTGAGGCATGGTCATAGATTCTGGCATGGCTGTGCTTACAAGAGTGGCTAAATGCATACCTAGCATAAGTAACACCATTTTTATTGAAACCAAGAGACCAAGACCATTTACATTCATAGTCCAGATAAATATTGCAGTAAGAACAGTCTGTCATTAGGCAGATTTCTGACTGTCAAAGTGGAGCCTAAATTCTGTCTATTGTAGCTGACCAGGAACACACACATGAATGGCAATAGCGACACGTATGCCGAGACTGAAATTAACTATTTGGAATAGCATCTAGGGCCACCTCCACAGTATCATCACCTCCATTAGTCTCCTGTCAGCTGCCAGACTCAGTGACTTTTTCAGATATCATCAGAGCATAAACAACATAGAATAAAAGTTAATGCCCCAAGTCAAGAGAGAGGCAAGCTTGACAGCAGTAATCAAAATTTTTCCCCTCAAAAAAATTCTAACTTCCATAATTAAATGCTACATCATGTAGTATTTTCTGCTTATTTGACAAGACAGTTTTTTGTAATAAGGTAAACTACAAACATAAGAACAAGTACATGTAGATACTTTTTTTTTGTGCCTAGCTGTTATACCCTATACCACATAGGAATTAGGTGGAAATTTTCCTTGGTATGATTCCTCTTTAGGAAAGGGGATAGGTTTTATTAGTGAAGAAAACAGAATAGACCATCTAATACGTTGGTTGAAGAGAGCAGCTCTTAGGAAGGATTGCTGTCTGTAACTCCCCCCCCTTTTTTTTTTTTTCAAAAATCAAGATACTGAAGCAATTTGGGTACAAGATCTTCATTTCTAGTAGGGTTTCCCAGCATGCAAAGTTACCAGACACGTGGTTATTTCTGAACAGTGCTCTTTGCATGAAAAAGCTTCATGTGAGATGACTGATTTTTTATTACTCCTGCTTCCTTTATCCCCATTCCTTCTCCTTCCCCTGTTTACAGTGACTGTCAGAGCACACTTGACGGGTTGGCTGATGACTCTGAAGAAGACATTTGTGCTGGCACCCAGCTCAGTGCTGCGGATTATCGTCCTCATCGCTAGTCTCATTGTGCTGCCTTACTTGGGGTAAATCATTATTTTGCACAGAGCTGATAGGTTTGCTTTCCTCTTCATTCCTGTTCCCTGTCACTTGATAACTGAATTTGCATAGCTCAGAACATTTTCCCCCAATACTAACTATAATATAAATCCTAAACAGTGTCAATATCTGGAAAAGAAACATTTACAAATTCACAAGTGTGACTGCTGTAGGCAGGCAAGATAGTGATGTCCCTTTTGAAAAAATACACAGATGTCAAAGAGGCAGAATCATGTCCTAAGGGGAATTTATTTCCTTGCTATTAAGTGCACTGTTAATAAAGCTAATGGAAGAATATCCTGTTTATAAGTTAAATAATCTGTTCTACAGCACTCTGAACAAGACGTCAAATTCTTAGTCCATAATTTGATTCAGAGTGTGGCTCTTTTACTAAACAGTGAAGCCATTAAGAAACAAAAAAGAACTTTAAAATACCATTTATTCTCTTTGCCTGTTTATTATGTCTATGAAAGAAATATTTCTAACAACAAATTGGTTCTATATGGGAAAATATAATGACAAATCATGCATTCTCACATAACCATGACTACTTTCTTTTTATGGCACCCACAGAGTTCATGGAGCCACTCTTGGAGTAGGATCCCTTCTAGCTGGTTTTGTAGGAGAATCGACCATGGTTGCAATAGCAGCCTGTTATGTCTATCGGAAACAGGTAAGAATAAGACTCTGCAGGATACAGTGAAAGCAGTTGATGAATATAGTGGATTTTAGTTCAGATTAAGAGTTCACTTTTGAAATGTAGCTCCCCACCATCCCTGCTTACTGAATTTGGTTTGCTTTCTCAAGAATGTGCAACTTAGGAACTCTTTGGGTTGAAATAAAGGTTTCCTCCAGCTGCTAGTGGGCATTTAGGCCATGGGATGAGGCCATGACACGTGCTGGCCTGAAGTTAACCTCCTGCTCCTCGTGGATATCATGGATAACATGTCCTTACCACCACTTATTTTGTGCTGTAGATCAGCTACTGCAATACAATATAGCTTTTTTATGTAGACGTAGGAACTACTCATCCAAGCTTATCATACCTATCTGTATATGTATATATGGTTTAGTGGTGGACTTGGCAGTCCTGGGGTAAGGGTTGGGCTTAATGATCTTAAAGGTCTTCTTCAACCTAGTTGATTCCATAATTCTATGTGTGTTTATATGTATCTATATGTATACTTCTATTTCCTTATAAAACCAGCACTGCTGGAAATGGACAAAAAGTAGTTAGGGTTTTTTTGCCATCTAAACAAATGGCTTAAAACCTGCTGCAGTAGAGGATAGGATCTTACAAACACTGAAATAAGTGAGATTTTCTCATAGGCATACTTATTTCACACACTATGATTCTGTATGTACAAAGCAGTAGTGATACATGGGTTTCAAGGAATATTTCATTAAATGAAGGCAAACACCGGATAAATGTCAGCTGGGTGACTGGGGATAACGCACTACCTGCATGTTGTGTCTTTCCAGTTATGTGTTCGAGGCACTGTGTAGGTGTCGTGGTTTAAGCCCAGCCATAACTCAGAACCACGCAGCCGCTCTCTTACTCTCCTCCCCTTCTTCCCCCCCACTCCCAGAGGGATGGGGAGAAGAATCGAAAGAATGTAACTCCCACAGGTTGAAATAAGAACAGTCCAGTAACTAAGGTATAACACAAACCACTGCTGCTACCACCAATAATAATGATGATAAGGGAAGTAACGAGGGAAGAGAATACAACCACTCACCACCTGCCAACCAATACCCAGCCCAACCGAGCAGTGATCTAACCCTTCCAGGTAACTGCCCCCAGTTTATATAGTGAGCATGACATGCTGTGGTATGGAATACCTCTTTGGTTAGTTTGGGTCAGGTGTCCTGTCTCTGCTTCCTCCTGGCTTCCCCTCCTCCCTGGCAGAGCATGAGACTCACAAAGTCCTTGATCAGAGTAAACATTACTGAGAAGCAACTAAAACATTGGTGTTATCAGTGCTGTTCCCAGGCTGAAAGTCAAAACCACAGCACTGCACCAGCTACTAAGAAGGAGAAAAAATGACTGCTACTGATGAACCCAGGACAGTATCCACACCTTATTCCATGCCATTCATGTCATGCTCAGATCCCACATTTTCAATATACCATCAATCTTATCTCATACATATACATATATATACATCCACAGAGAGAGAGAGAGAGATCATTCCGTAGTGCATGGACCAATCCCTATAAAGCTGCTGAGTCCCATCCATGATGTTGGGCTCCATCTCTTGTAAGAGTCTTTCAGAGCAGAAGAGAGAGTGTGATGTAGTCAGTCTGCCAAGCCTCCCCATATTTGTACTTCAGCCATTGTCCTCCATACTAAAGAGGCTTTAACTGCTTGCCTTGCTTAATTGCAGCACATGTTTCACACTCGTGATTAACCTGGGCAATAGTGTCCATTGCTAAGTCCACCCCTTCATCATGAGTCCATCTCTATGTTGCATCTCTGCCCTGATGGCCTGAAGAGTCATGGGCCCACCAGGCTCAAAAAAATTCACCCTTCCCTTCAGCAGTTTCTGCAGCTTGTTGCTGGGGACTCCATACAGCTGCCTTCCATCTCCGACGCTTCCAAAGCACTGGAGGGGCCCAGTGGACTAGATACTTGCCCATACTGTCCCACACACCCTGTCACTCGTGACTGTCCAGCCTTGGGGAAAATCTCTTGGTCCTCCTATGTCGTCATCTAACCCTAGACGAGACCGAAACATGACTCTGCTTAACTTTTGACATCAGACAAAACAGTTGTGCATAAAACACACTCTGTATGTGTGCCAACATGGTGATCCCCATCACAATCAGCAGGCAGGTCTCAAAGGTACCCAAAGGCCATTCAAAACCTTCAGAACTCTCAAATGACGCTGCTGTACCTGTCACTGGGGCTGGTGTAGCTGCTGTGCTTGGAGCTGGAGTAGCTGCACTGTCTGCTGCGGTCAGAGTTTGGGTAGCTGCTGTACTTGTCGCTGGGGTTATTGTAGCTGCTGTGCTTGGAGTTGGAGTAGCTGTGTTATCTGTTGTAGTCAGAGTTTGAGTAGCTGCTGTACTTGTCACTAGGGTGTGTGCGAATGTCTCCCTCATAGGCTGACCACCCGAGGAGGGGAAAAAAGATGTGTAATTGCTAAACACTTCTATTATATACCTCCCAAAGTATAGAGGTGGCGACCACACTGGGAACGCAAGCCAGATCAGTTTCATGATCAATGATTCTACTGTATCACAAGTCATTACCATAAAGTACAGTGAAACAACAACCTTAGCCCAAGCCCCCCAGCTTTGAGGGGGGGTTGATAAACACTAAAACAGCAAATACCGGCTGTAAGTAAGGTACGACATGCTGAAATTCCAAGATCAAGAGCAACAACTTTGAGAGCCAATAAATCAGCATTGTGATGAGTGACTATAAATCCAAACCAATAAGTGCTTATCACAAATACAATTAGACACACTCTGGTCAGATCTGTTGTTATCTCAACCCTTCGTGCCCCACGTTGGGCATCAAAAAGAACTGTTGTGGTTTAAGCCCAGTAGGGTACCAGGTCCAGCTCCAAGCAGAAATGGCATGGTGTATACAGCATTACATAGTGCAGAAGGACCCTGTGGATGGCAGCAGAAAATATAACCTATGCATTTACTTTTTTTCTTTTTTAATTAAACTTCATACTAAGGGCCCATTGGTTCTGTTCTTAGCAAAAATATGCAGAAGATGGAATATCTAAAAGCTTTGTGTTGGAACAAACTAAACCCAGTTTTGATATGCATTAACAGTGTGCAGGCCGTTAACAGTGGGCCTGCACACTGTTAATGTGTACAAAGTGTACAAAGTTCATAAGAAAATAGAAGTAGTTGATCTCTGTCATAATTAGTCTGTCGTGCTCTTCCTGGGAACCAAAGAGTAAAACCTGTAGACACTGAAATGGCTGTTCTTGGCCTATGGTTGCACAACAACCTCCTCGTCTCTTGTTTCAGTAGTAACTCGTAGAGTATTTCTGGCCAGGGACATGATGCTTAATTTTTTGCAGTGATGAGTGCAGGTAGTAGTAATAATAACTGTACCAACCTAATTTATTCCCTTAGCAGAATTAGTATGTAGCTGACAGCATTGTCTCAACAGCCAGCATGACAGTGGCAGAGCAAACTGGTATCTGTATACAACTTGTTTTCACCTACAGTGGTAATAAGTGGGCAGTGTTTCAGAGCTGCAAATCAAGTGCTGTGTAGACACCTCTGAAATTTTGAATCTCTGATATGCCCAACTCAGCTGAATCAATTATACCTGGAGGGGAATTTTTGTCAGCTATACAAGTGTTTTCTGTAAAACCAGTCAGCCTGCTGAGAAACGGGTAATAAGGAACAGATGCTTCAACTTGTTTTGTAGTGGAGCTGAATGCTTCTTAGCTTTACTAATCCAGGACATCCTGGATGAATCATAGGACTTTTGAATGCCCTCCTGCTCCTGCTAGCCAAAAATACTCTAATATTCCTTGGCCTTGGTAGGGTGAGGAGCACAGTGGATCAGCAATACCAAGAAAAGCCAGAGTGCTCACATCTTGTAAAATTCCTGAAGTTTTGACATTTGAGAAACTAGGTTGGCACCTCTATCTCCCCCCTAGCACAGCTTATCTTCTCTCATGTTTTTATTTTGTTTTGTTTTATTTTTATTTTAATAAAAAGTCTGTGATGTAAAAGATTCCAGATGCTCTCTTCCCTCTAGTCATGCTGAAGCCTGTTTTGGCTGTCATTTAGCATAAGAAATGCCTCTGTTATTGCATTTATGTTAGAAAGGAGAAAGCTGAGCCCCAGAAGGTTATGGAAACCTTCTAAGTTAGTCAAGTTATTAGTGACAAGCCACAACTATGACACAAATATTCTAGCTTTTAATAACATACTATAAAAGAAAAAAAAATCATTATTATCACCTCACTTCTCCCAGTGCCTAAAGTCCATAGGACTGTGTTCATGCACAACTTACTGATAGGTTTCTGAATGCTTGTTTCAATCTAGAAAAAGAAGCGGAATGAGAATGAAACAGCTACAGAAGGTGAAGACTCTGCAATGACCGACATGCCTCACACAGAGGAAATGACAGACATCGTAGAAATGAGAGAAGAGAATGAATAATAAATGGGATGCAATTGTTCTCTGCAGGGACGATTGGAGTGACACTTCAGCATCTTGTCGTCTCTCATACTTTTTGTTTGTTTGTTTTTATTTTTGTAATAAAGAGGCCTTGATTTAAAAGGTTTCAGATAAATTCTCTAGCATACTGAGTATGCCCTCACTGATGTGGGACCTAAAAAGAGGTCTTTGCTTTTTCTCTTTTTTTCCAATTGAATCTGTTTTCTCAATCCATGCAACCATAAAAGATACAATTGCATCACTGTAGAGTCTTCCTTATGCATCCACCTTCTCTGGACAATCTGCATTTGTCAACCAAAGCCCTGTTTTCTGTGCATGTGTGTGTGTGTGTGCGTGCATGCGCTTGCGTGCTTGCACGCTTGCACACACACACATGCCACTGGCTCAGTGCTACTGCCAGGATCCTGCTCCCTCCCCTCTTTGCTTTTCCTTCCTTTTCTTTATGAGAAATGCAAAGGAAAAGAAGTTTGGAATACAGAGCTTTATTTTACTTGCTTGAAAATGACTTTCCTACATAAACTAATATACTATGGTAAACTATATCTTTTTGTTTGGCTTCATCACTAGAGCTTATACTGCACAGGGTACAAGACAGGGAGGAACATGTAAGCCTCCACATACAAAGTGGAGAAAAACAGGTTCTTTTCTTGTGTTAAAAGTGTGTGGATGTGTATATACACACACAGGTACATAAACAGAGACATACATATATATTTATATATATAAATATATATAAATAATATATATAAATATATAAATAATATATATTTATATATTTATATATGTATATGCATACAATAAATGCACACAGGACAAGAACTCTATTTAGCTTTCATTCCATCAGAAAGATAGTAGTCTTTTGACAAAGGTAGACATTTAATTCAGAATTTTCTTGAATCGTTAAGCCCCACTTTACCTATAATTTTCTTTAGGAAAAAAGACTGCACTTTCCTCTTGTGAAGAGGGTGATGGCAACTGATAGACTTTGACTGTATTTGAATTTAAAAGAAATAAATGTTGACAAGCTTTACCAAAGTTCTTGTCCACTGATTTAACTTTAATGTTGAAAGGTTCATTTGCTCTACTTACTTCTGGTGCCTATATATTTAAAAAGAAGGATCAGATAGCGTTTGCAGGATACCATGGTATATCACGTTACTACACATAGCTCCATGAAAGTTTTTATATAGAGATGTACACGTACACACTCCCACTGTGTTTATGTACATCTACTTTACACACACACTTCTATGTATGCTTTGCTATTATGTATTTAACTATGCAGTAGATCAAAATCTGTATGGTGAAGCTCAAGTACTGATGGTCCTCCAGGTCATTAATTAGGGACTGTGATCATGTGTTAGTTCTCAAGGCAAGAGTTGTGGAATTTGGAAGCTGCTCACATCAGTCAGCAAGTGCTGTACTTGGGGAAGACGACAGGTGCTGTGTGGTTGTGATTGAAGTGGGCCTTAAATCACAGAGCATGAAGTTGGGTGGGTGACTTGTATCAGGTGGAAGTGAAACGTATATAAAATGTGACCAGACCAGAGAGGGTTTGGGTGCCACTGATAATGGCTGGCAGCAGCTCATATTTCTGTGTACTTCTGCGTTTGGCTGCGGGGCAGCACTCGTTTCTGGTTTGTAGTAGCTCGCGTTCTGTCAGATTTAATCATGCCACAGTCTGGAAATTGTTATCCTCCAGGCTACATCCATAAACCTTATTTAGTCAAAGTATATTTTTCTAAGTTGTGAAAATTTTTATTTAATTGTGGACAAATTCCATTTCTAGATTTATTTGCCAGGTAGTCCCAGCACTCAGAGAACTGATTAAAACTAAACATTACTTTAAATGTTATATCAATATATGTGTATGTGGACATACACATGTGTATAAATATATATATTGTATATTATGTACATTTATTTTAAGTTACATTTCCTATTTTTTGAAGTTCAGCTAACAACATCTCTAAAAAAGCTACAGAGTTGGCTAGTTACGGCCATCCAGTTACAGCCGTCATGAAAGGCATTGTATCAATGAACTTTACATTTTATTGTAAACATTTGTACCAGTTTGTTACATGTACAAATGCAATAAGGAAAAAAAGTAGAAATTAGTGTGTTGAATGACAGATTTGCAAAATCAGTTCACAGTTAATGAGCAGTGACACTAGGAGGGCAAGAGTAAATCCAGTAGCCACATGTTTTCTGTGCCACCACAAGTTTGTTCTTGTTTCTGACAATGATTGAAAAAAAAAATATGACTCAGACAAATTAACTTTGTGCAGTATGTATACTGTACACATTCATGAATACAGGCTCTCTCAAACAGTCCTATGTATATAATGTGTATATAGACTGTTACAGACACAGTGGCCATTTGAGTCTTCTCTATTCAAGTGGTTTTGATTTCTCCAGTATGTTTTCTACTCAAGTCCACAAGATGCAGTTTTTTCAGGAGCTGTAGAGATAAAGCAAGAAACTATTTTTGTGTAATATTTCTTGACTAAAATTCAAATGGCAGTATTTTTGAAGAATTTTGAGCATTACCTATGTAGTTTCAAGGTAATAATTACACCAAAAAGTAAAACTTCAAAAAACAAATTACATGAAATTTTTGCTTTAGATAGAAGATGAACAAATACAAGAAACTGAAGTATTGGTCATACAGGGCTAAACTAATGGTATTGCGAAAGATACATTTTCAGTTGTGTGGTTAACCCTTAATAGTCATTTACTTTGCAAGATACTGAATGAGCACAGGAGTGGTAGGATTTGGGCAATAACTCCAGCAGTGACATAAGCACGCATGCAGTGCATCTCTTTCTGCTTCCTGCAGGTCATTTATTTCTTTACATTGCTCTGCTGGATTAACAGAACATGCTGACATGTCCATGATGAGCAAGTCCAAAGCAGCCGCTTGTGCTAAGCTGGGCTAGGTGCTCACTGCATGGGGAGGCAGGGTGATCAACGTGTCCCCTGCTGCCCCTGGCTCTGCTTTGGGGTACTGTTGCCAGGAGCTGCAGTGACCACCTGAAACCTCAGTGCTCCAGCTCTCAGTCTGTGTCAAATTCAGCTTGGCTAGTTAAACAGCTACTCTGATGGGTTACTGGCTGGGAAAGGGCAGCGGATCAACTCAGCTAGAAGCTCCAGTCAGGCTGTCACTGGTTCCAGGGTCTCCGTCAGGCAGTTGCTGGTGTGTGCCCTGTCCTGTACCTCTTCCTTCCCAAAAGGACTCTTCTGAGTTCTAATAAAATGGCTCTCTTGTGTTACTGCTTATGAAATGGCTATCTCTACGATAAATATTTTACAATAGAAACCTATTAAGTTTCTGTGTTGAAGAGTCAGAGCTCAGTCATCTCAATGAACTCACATGAAGACTTGGCCTTTCCAGACTTTCTTGAGAATTACGGAATTATACAATTGAACGTACAATAAAAAGAGGAACAAAGCTGATCTGCATCCTACATGTTAAATTTCAGAACAGCTCACACAGCTGTAAATAAGAGCAGAACTCTCATAAGAACACTCATAAACTGTGGATTAATGTTCCTTGGCTTTTAATATATACATAAAATTGTGTTAACTTGTCTTGAGTTTTCCTTTTGCAGAATTAAGAGGAAACACTGGGGTTTATTCCCCCGTCACTTCCCTAAGCAGGCCTTTCATGCTTACCAAGCAGTGGACTTGATGGAAAAAGCTCTGCATTTCCCAGCCAGTGTTTGAGGCCATTTGGGCACACCAGCAGGTTCCCAGGCATCCCCTGGCACAGCCATTCCAGGCAGGAGCACTCAGTTGCCCGCTTGTTAGATAGAGCCACCCTGAGTGAGAGGATCGGGTGAGTAATAGAGATGTCTTTTGTCTTCTACTCATTTTGCTACTAAATATTTCCTTTGAGCAGGAGAGATTTATATCTGGCTCTTGCTCGGTGTACTGCCGAATCTGCAGCCAGAGAGAGAGCAGCTCAAGACAGAGGGCAAGCTGATGAATGCAGCTGATTCAGGGCAGGCCATGAACAGAAACCTTTTGAAGGCCAGAGTGCCTTCCTTTGTGGGATGGTGCCTTGTGCTTAAACAGAAGGGAGAAAAAATGCTTTCGGGTCCAGGCGCCAGAGTTGCTGGGCATAGTTTGATGTTGGGCTGCAACGTGGCAACAGGAACAGGGCATCCTGTGGCTCCAGCATCCCAGCCCCACTGCCAGCATCGCTGGTGAAATTGAAGACAGTGCAGGGGATGGCAAGGTGGCAGTACCAGCTCCGTCTCTCACTGAGGTTTTGTGATTGTGGTGTGATCAGGACAGGTTTGAGTGCAGCTGGGTGCTACCTGGGTATAGTTTCAATAGCCATTAGTGTATTGGAAAGCCATTCATATGTATATGGGGGTGTATATGAGCGTACATGGGCATTTTAATTACAGCATTTATATGGTTCATTGGCTCAAAGATTCAGACCTAAACATGCTCTTAATATGGGACTAATACTAAGCCATTTTTAAGAAAACTTGCAATTCAAAACTACATAAAGGCCTAAATCACCCTTTCAGAAGACCTTATATACCAGTAGCTAAAGCATGATTTATATCAGTAAGCTGGAGTGGAAGAGAAAAAGGACATGTTGCAGAGCTTATGGGTGTTATATATCCATCCTAAGGACAACAGCATGGCATGGAGAGGTGTGAACCAGAGGGCAGAGGTGCTCTTCACCTTTCAGCTGCCCTGGAGAGGGATTGAAGGGCAAGGAGCAGTGCATCTATGAGGTACCACCTCTAAGTATTTTGGTTTCTGAGTGGAGGAGCCATCAGAGAGAAGAGTATGAAACATCTTAGAAGATTATTCAAGCAGAAGTAAATTGGCATGCAGGTTTTATAACATGCAGAAAAGAGGCACTACATAGCTTGTGTTTCTGAGTAACTGGCAAGGTTGCATTCTATAGATGTCACATAAATATCACTTAAACACAAGACAAAATTATCTCAGTTTTGGTATCAAACTGTCATTTCCCAAATACCAGCTTAACCATAAAATGTTAAGATTCCCTTCCCTTGTTCATGTTTGCTTTTTTTACTAGAATTCAAGTGCAGAATACTGTATTTTTTTAAGGGAGTAAGCTCCTGTGGAGAGGGGGTGCAGTGCAGAGCAGCCTTGGGGGGGGGGGGGGGGGTGTGTCTTGTGGAAGAGCCCCAGTGGGAAGAGGAGCTCCACATTTATTCTGCACCCTGCAACACACTGTGTTTAGTTGCAGCCTGACAGTGTCCTGAAAGGAGGCAGAACTGTCAGCTTAGCAGGAAACTCGGTCCAAGCATGGCCCTGGCCTGTAGCAGCAGTGCAGAGCAGCAGGGGGGCGCAGGGAGCCCTGGCTCCCTGCTTCAGTTTGGACAGCTTGCATGGATACGCTTTGGAGAGCCAAGTTCAGTTGTCAGTGCATAGATGCACTCCTCAGAGAAACCATTGCCAGACTCCTCAGTAATTGGCACCTTCTGAACAAAAAGGCCAAAGACAAAATTTGGGGGCAGAGAAATCAAGCTTTAAGCTTGGCTTGGAGTGCATACTTGCACAGAACGGCATTTTGGCTGCAGCTTATGCAAGTTAATTGTACTTTTAGAGAGTGAGCTTCAGTCTCAGCGTTTCATCATCAAGATATCCACTCTATCTCAGTAAAACAGGAGAACTGGTTTATAATTTTAAGTGTTCTTTTGTCTTTGTAGCCCTGAGGAGATAGTTTTCCTTAGTATTACCAAGCCTGTC